CACACACACACACACCACACACACACACACACACACACACACACACACACACACACATCAACACACACATACATACACATACCCACACTCTCTCATACACAGACAGACAAGAGCAGATCAGTGACCGTACTGTCCAGAGGCCCAAGCACCACGCTAGTTGCCAAGTCACTGCACAACACAAGCAGCAACGCCACTGGGCAACGCAGGTAGCCATGTCACCTCACCACGAAGGTAGCCACGTCACTTCACCACGCAGGTAGCCACGCCATCACGTCACTGCACCACACAGATAGCCACGTCACGGCACCACGCAGGTAGCCACTTCACCACGTCACAGCACCACGCAGGTAGCCACTTCACCACGTCACTGCACCACGCAGCTCTTCTCAGCATCCTTCAGCTGTAGCAGGCCTGAGGACAGTTTCTGCTCCACCAGCTCATCGTCCTCAATCCTGGAACACAAGAAGAAGAAGAAGAAGAAGAAAGGGGCTCAGTACAGCCATTGGGCTCTTTGGGATTAAGGGGGGATTGGTTAGAGTACAGAGAAGCACATCGACACAATAATGGGCATTTAGTGCTGGGAAAAGGTAAGACAGACAGAAGTTTAGTTTTAGTAAGAGTTTTACGGCACTTGCAACACACTAAGGTCATATAAGTGCCGAAGAATAGAGGTGTTACAAGAGAGTAACAAACACAGAAAATAAATAGGAGAGATCAGGACGATAGATGTTTGATAGGAAAGAAGGAGTAAACCACACCAGAGCACCCACTAACCACCTGCTCTTTGGGTTTTAGAGGAGTTTGTTTGTTTGAGTACTGAGAAGCACATCGACACAATAACGGTCGTTTAGTGCTGGGAACAGGTAAGACAGACAGAAACAACAGAGGGAAAGTAACGAAGTAGGACCTGTCAGTGGCGCCCTCCAACCACCCGCCTTTTAAGGGGTGTATATACGTGCGATTGTACGTGTGTGTGTGCAAAGAGGGGTGGGGACTTTGGAGTAAACAAAGAACAAAGCTTCAGTGACTACGTCATGCTCAACGAAATGGGTTCAATTGATCAACATCTATCTCTCTCTCTCTCTCTCTCTCTCTCTCTCTCTCTCTCG